GAGGCAGGCAACCCCTGCACCACCAGAAGCTGGGAGACAAGGGAGGGTCCTCTCCTAGAGCCTCAAGAGAACAGGGCCCTGCTGGGACCCTGCACTTGGACTTCTGGCCTCCAGCACTGTGCGACAATCCATTTCTGTCCTTACAAGCCACTTGAACTGTGGTATTTTGATACGGCAGCCCCAGGAAATGAACAGAAATAATAAAAGGGTAATTTGACCTGTCTTGCCCACCCAAGGAGCCCTGGTGGCACAGCGGTTAAGCATTCAGTTCAGATTACCCAACAAGCAAGGTAAGCACAGGCTTACTTGTGCTTACTTAGTATCTGTAGTGAACAGTTTCATGTTAGTAAGTAAGCACAAGTTAGCCTGTGCTTACCTTTCTTATTAGGTAATCTGCCTCTGGCTAGGCTGCTAACCAAAAGGTCAGTGGTTCGAAGCCACCAGGCATTCCACAAAAGAAAAATGAAGCCTCTGCTTCTGTAAAGATTCTAAACCAAACTCAGTGTCATCAGGTTGATTCCAACTCACAGCACCCCTAGAGGACAGAGTGGAGCTGTTCCATAGGGTTTCCAAGGCTGTGAATCTTTATGGAAGCAGACTGCCTCATCTTTCTTGTGCCAAACAGCTGGTGGGTTTGAACAGCTGACCTTTTGGTTAGCGACTAAATGCTTTAACCAGAGCTCCTTTTGGTAAAGATTGTTGTTGTTGTTGTTGTTGTTATTTGCCATCGAGTCGGCCCCGACTCATAGCGACCCCTCCTTGGATTTCCGAGGCAGTATCACTAGGGAAGTAGGATTGCCCAACCTTCCTTCCGAGGAGTGGCTTAGAGTCTAGGAAACCCCATGGGGCAGTTCCACTCTGTCCTAGAGGGGCGCTGTGAGTCGGAATGGACTCCAGGGCAGTGGGTGTGGTTTGGGCTTTGCTTAGGTGAAGACTGACAGCCTTGGAGACCCTGTGGGCAGTTCCACTCTGTCCTCTAGGGGCGCTGTGGGTCGGAATGGACTCCAGAGCAGTGGGTGTGGTTTGGACTTTGCTTCCGTGAAGACTGACAGCCTTGGAGACCCTGTGGTGCAGTTCCACTCTGTCCTCTAGGGGCGCTGTGAGTCGGAATGGACTCCACGGCAGTGGGTGTGGTTTGGGCTTTGCTTCTGGGAAGACTGACAGCCTTGGAGACCCTGTGGGCAGTTCCACTCTGTCCTATAGCCTTGTAATGACTCAGAATGAACTCAATGGCAACAGGTATTTTCTCGCCCGATTGTGGGGAGCCCAGCTGCCTCCTTCATGCTGTGGAAGATCCCAGAAGCCAGTCATCAAGGTGCCTCGTGTCCTGTTCGCCACCTCTGGCTTCTGCTTCTAAGATGTTCTCCACAGCAGCCCACAATCCTGGCCTCGTTCTCACCTCTCCTGACTGGCCCAGACACGGCCTTTCTCCCTGAAGGCCCAGTAAAGCTTTTCCTAATGGAAGCACCACCACTGTCTCCACCATTAGCAAAGACAGTGGAGCCGGGAGGCTCGCCTGTGTTTTAACCTCCTCACGTGACGTCTAAGGTGGGGTCCGGGTCAGATAGTTGTTCCCCCATCCTCCTCTCCTCAGCAGTCTCTACACTCCAGTTGGGCCGTGGAAGGGCTGTTCTCGTCCACCTGGACCAAACCTCTGCTGTTGCTGGTGCCCTCCAAGCAGCATCTGACAGTGATTGAGAAAGTGCAGGACGGTGCGATGGCGAACACAGCAGGCTGCTAACTGAAAGGTTGGCATTTGAGTCCACCCAGAGGTGCCTTGGCAGAAAGGCCTGGCGTTCTATTTCCGAAAGGTCACGGCCACTGAAAACCGTGTGGAGCGCCATTCTTCTCTCTCTCTCTCACACACACACACGGGCACCATGAGTCGGAGTGACTACACAGCAGTTGGCCCCATAATTCTCCCATGAGCCCTTGCTTTTGGAGGGTTCTTGACTTTAATTAGGTTTCAGAAGACCTTGTAGGCACACCCTCGAGTTTAAATCGGTTCAGTGAGCCGAGTTGAGACCCTGTGCATGTCTAGGCCTGGATGGGGACAGGAGTTACCCCTGGAATCACCTGGAACAACTTAGGATGGGAGCGGGGATTGGGTCTGGAGCCATGGGAAGGCCGAGTCCACAGGACAGCGCTTCCCTTTCCGTCGTTCCCGCAGTTTCCTTGAGGTTGGCACACTCTCAGGCAGGTCTACCCTTTGGGACTGAAGCAGCTCTGGCTACCCAGTGTCTCCGTTCAAGTCCAGCAGGAAAGAACACTCTCTTTCCCAGAAGGCCCAGCTCAGACTAGGTCATGTGCTCATCTGTAAACCAATCATGGGTGATGCTGGTGAGATGCCCTGATTGGCTTAGATCTAGGTCACATGATCAACCTGGCTCAGAGCTCTTGGGCTTAGAGACAGAATAGGGTGGTTTGCCCACTGAAATCTAGGTAGCTACCAGAAGTGCCATCAGTGGATGCTAGGTGCCAAACCAACAGACAGTAATAGTAGGAATGATAACCCATGGCCCTGGATTCCAACTTGCAGCGACCCCGTGCGTGTCAGGGGGAACTGGGCTTCCTGCAGTTCCGGTGGCTGGTTTTCTGGAAGCAGATGGCCAGGCCTTCCTTCCAAGGCATCTCTGGATGACCTTGAACCTCCAACCTCTCAGCAAGTGGCCAAGCACCTACAGTAACAACCTGCTGTGCTGTTGATTCCAACTCATATCAACCCCATGTGACATATTGGGCTTCCTGGGCTGCGATCTTTACCGGAAGGAGCGCTGCTGGTGCAGTGGTTGAGGCATGGCTGCTAACCAAAAGGTGGGCAGTTTGGACCCACCCATGGGAGAAAGATGAGGCAGTCTGCTTCTGTAAAGATTCACAGCTTTGGAAACCTGATAGGGCAGTTCTACTCTGTCTTACAGGGTAACTATGAGTCAGAATCGACTCAATGGCAGTAGGGTTTGGTTTATGTTTACAGGAGTGGCTTGCCATGTCTGTCTCCCTTGGAGCAGCTGGCTGGATTCAAACTGCCAACCTTTGGTTAGCAGCCAAGCACTTAACCACCACATGACCAGGGCTCTTTGTTATTGGCCTTATGAGCCCCAAATAAAGGAGTCCTGGTGGAATAGTGGTTAGGCACGTGGCTGCTAGCCAAAAGTCAGCAGTTAGAACCCATCGGCCATCCCATGGAAGGAAGATGTGGCAGTCTGCTTCCATGAATTACAGCCTTGGAGACCCTGTAGGGCAGTTCTACTCTGTCCTCTAGGGCTGCAGTAAATCAGAATTGACTCGATGACAGTGGGTTTTGTTTTTGTTTTTAAAACCCTAAATGAGTTTTAGGTGAAGACATGAGACAGTGTCGTGAAATGGAGTTAGAAATGGCTGCTTGATCACCAGTGGTGAGATCTGGGCCAACGTGCAGTGCAGTCTGTTCTGTTGGCAGGGCCACTTAGTGAGTAAAACAAGTGAGTTGTCACACATCCCAGCTGCACCTTTACCCAGCTTCAAGCCCTTATCTTGTCTCGCCAGAACTGTGCAGCAAGCTCATGTGGGATTTATCCAGCTGATGTGTTTTGACCACCCGTTGTGTACCGGGCCCTGGGATGGGAAGGGGGAGGAGGCTAGTGGGCAAGCAGACCAGCCTGAGGAGCAATGACAGGAAGGGCAGAGCCCCAGGGGTGGGAGCACATGATCCAGCGAAGACACCTCGGTACCCCACAGACTCTGATGGACTGGGACAGGGACAGTCTCTCTGAGAAAGCGATGTGGTAGCTTAGGAAAGCTTAGGCGTAGGTGGCCCAAGAAGGTGCAAAGTGCTCCAAGCAGAAGGAATAGCGCGAGCTTCCTCCTGACTCCCGTCTCCTCTCTGCTGGGCTCTTCTCCCAAGACTCACTGATGTCCCTCCAATGTCTAAAACCTTTCTGTGGGGCGTTTGGAATAAAGTTCTAGCACCTTCCTTCTTTCTTCCCTTGTATTTCAAAAGCAGTTCCATGGCCCATACCCTCAGGAACCAACCCCCGCAGGACAGCCTATTACACGGGACACAGATGGACGCGGGCAGACGCCATACATGGGCAGAACTCCTGTACAAAGAGAAAGAGAACGGTTTGTGTAGCATGTCTGCCTTGAGCATCGTGGTCTTGTAAAGAACGCTCTGTGAAAGGGGGCTTACGAAGCTGGGGGCAGTGAGTTGATGTTAAGGAGAAGGAACAGTTCAGAAAAGGAGGCCACACAAGTTGAACAATGTAATCAATCCCACTGAAGAATTGTACACGTCGAAGTTGTTGCATTGGTGTTTCTTCTGCTGTGTGTAGTCTTAACAAATGAAAAAATGTTTAAAGAGATCAAAGGAAGAATAAAAGTCATAACAGGGAAGGATCCACGCGGTTCGCAGTAGGCTCGCCCAAGACACACTGGGGAATGTCTGCACGTCTGACTGCCCAGAGTCCCTCGACCTGTCTACACAGCAGGCAGGCTGTGGGAGCAGGCCTGTCCTCTGCATTCCGAGCGCTGAGCCGGGCACAAGGCGGCTGCTCCACACACGGAGGCTGTCAGCTTCGGCCTGGTCGCGCCTCCAGCGCAGGCTGCAGGCGCTAAGGCCCGAAGAAATGAATGAGGTCAGAAACGCGGAGCAAAGCCCAGAGAACAGCCCCGTGACCAAACTTCTCGGCCCCAGCGGTTCTCGCAGACCCGCCCCTGCCCCGCCCCTGCAGCCAATCGCCAATCATAGAGGGCCGCGCTATCTGTGTTCGCCCCCGGCGTGCTATCTGCCAATGAGGTCCGAGAGGTCCGCCGCCAATCTCCGCCCCGTCGGCACACGCCGCTGTTCGCGTGTCAAGCTCCCAATAAAGTTCTCAGAGACTTTGAATTTTTTTTTTAAAGCGCCCGCGCCGACGCGCCGCTGCCGGCTAGAGCGGACGAGTCCCCGCCCCGCAACTTCCGGTCCCGCCGTCCCAGAGCCGGCGCTGCTGTGGGGGGCTGTATCTCGCCCTCGCCGCCGCCGCCGCCGCGCGGGCCGGGCATGGTGTTGGGCCCCGGGCCGCCTCGCCTGTCTCGGGGTCTCCAGGTGAGGGCGCTGGCTCTTCGGGAAGGGCGCAGGGTGCGCCGACCGGGCCTCCTGGCTCGCGCTGGGCCGCCTCAGGCCGCGCTTCCCCGGTTGGGCGCGGGGCGGGTGGGCAGATCAGGGCCGGGGGTTGATGGAAGTGCCTGGCGGGGACGGCTCCGTGGACTGGTGACGCTTTAGGGACAGGCCTCGCGCCGGGCCCCGCCAGTGCCAGGCCCTGTGCGACGCCGCAAGCCGACCCCGTCTGCGCCGCTGCCGGGGGTCGCCGGCTCCCTTTCACGGGAGGGAACGGGGGTCGCGCGTCGCGCCCAAGGTCACGGCTCCCGAGTGGCCGGAGGAACTCGGACGCAGGCGCCCGACTCTGGGTTGATGTCAGAGTCGCTGTAGGCCCTGGGAGCGGTGAGCCCGGGAGGGCAGGGAGCGTTGCCCCTTCCTGGGGACCTGCTGTAAGCAGAAGGATGCACGACTGCCTAGGGCCGCCTCCCACACTTGGGGGCGCCGAGGATAGCGCGGAGCAGGGGAGGACATCTTGGAAGGACTAGCACGTCCGCGTCCTGCGTTCTGGGTCTGCTAGTTGTGGTGTGTGGCCTGGGGCGTGGCCCGCCCTCTCTGGGCTCAGTTTCCTTCCCTGTCACTTGCCCAGTTGTACCTAGCGCCCTGGGCATTCCCTCCAGTGCCCAAGTGGGGTCAGGGTGGGTTGGAGTCGCCTGAGAGGGCTTCTTGGAGGAGGAGATACTAGCGTCGGTGCAGGGACTTATGGAATAGGTGGTGAAGGGAAGGAAGACATTGCAGCCCTGGATGTCAGGATGAGCAGAACCTTCCAGAAATGAGCAGGGTGTTGTTGGGGAACCTGAGGAGGCTGGCCTGCCTCCTGTAGAGGATTCTTGGTGTGGAGAGCAGGGTGAAGGTCTGGGATCCTACACAGATGGGGGAGGGGATAGGTGTGAGAGATGTCTAGAGGCAGAAACTCTCAAGTTTAGTGGCATGGAGCTTGATGGTCCCTACCTAGACCTAGTGGCATTCAGGTAGTAGACAAGACAGGAGGGGGCAGGTTTAGTACAGAAAATAAATGAGACTGGACACCCAAGGTTGGTCACCCAAGAGGGGGGTTGGCACTGTGGGAAGTTCCTGGGCACTGAGTTCTGAAGGAGAGCGGGGTGTGGGTTTTTTGGTGTCCTGTTCTGGGTTCCTTTGACGAACTAGTCAAGTGTTCTCTGCAGTTCCATCTTTTACGCTTGGATTGGGACACCTCAAGGACAGAAGGAATTGAAAGAAGTGTTCCACACACCTCCAGCTGCCTGGCCCCTAGCGCCCCTGCACAGCTGACATAGTCTCATTTTGCCACTGCACACACTAATGCTGAGGAAATGTTACTTAATGATGGAGACTAGGAAAAGAGCACACAGTCCTCACCTTTGAACAGTCTGAAGGCAAGCCCACCCAGAAGAAGAACTTACTGGGCAAATAACAACTTGTGGAATTTACAGCCTGAGCATGCTGTTCAAAGTGCTGCCCTGTTCCCAAAAGTGCTGCTTCAGTCAGAGTGTAATTTATAGTAAGGGGAAAGTTTACCTTTAGACCAGATCCTTGAGATGCAAAACCTAAAGGAAAAGGAAGGAGAATTCTGAAGAATTGCAGGTAGCCTACTAACCTCTTAACAGTTTGAGCAATTATTTTTGTTCAAATCTCTTTGAAGAACTATAGAATCTCTTTTTAACAACTATAGAAACAATACCAAATGAAACCTTTGGGTTATGCCTAAAGTTGTATGTGAGAATGTTATAGATAATGGAGAAATTGATGGTCATCATAAACTTGATTTCTTAGGCTGTTAGGGAAACAAGTTTCCTGTTATTTTCAGTGTTTATCTTCTACCTTGCACAGTCAGTGTTTTATTAAGGGCCACAAATTGCTGAAGATAACAAGTCAGGAATCCAGCCCTTTCAGGGATAAAGTTTGGGGCATTGCCTGTAGGGAAGACCTCTGTGGGCCAGTATGAAAAATCCATTGCCATCGAGTTGATGCCAACTCATCGCACCTTACAGGATAGAGTAGAACAGCCCCCACAGGTTTTCCAAGGCTATAGTCTTTCTGGAGGAGCTCTGGTGGTGTAGTGCCTAAGGCATTTGACTGCTAACCAGAAGGTTGGTGGTTCAAACCCACCAGCCACTCCTCAGAAGGAAGACTGGGCAAT